AGAGGAGAGGAGAGGAGAAGAGAGGAGAGGAGAGGAGAAGAGAGGAGGGGAGGGGAGGGGAGGGGAGAGAAGGGCAGGGCAGGGCAGGGCAGTGGAGGAGAGGAGAGGAGAAAAGAAGGCAGGGGGTGATGCTGATCGTCAGGTTGAAATGCGAGTCTCTGAAGAAATTAGCGAGATCCTCCCTGCCGGTACTCAAGATTTTCATTTTGCCTCCTCCCTCCCCTCATCCTGCCGCGCCAAGGATTGGAATTTCCGCACAAGTTCAAGTGGAAGTTGAGATTGTGGGATGGTAAACTCCTGTCATTCATTCCTTGATCCTCCTTCAGTGATTGATCTCGCCCTCCCTGTATCTCTCCTCCTCCTCCTCCTCCTCCTCCTCTCCGTCTTGTTCTCTCACTCTTGCTCTTACTCATGCTTTTCCTCGTTCTTCGCCTTTTTCTCACTTTCTCTTCCTCACATCATCTTTCACCCCTTTGTTGTCTGCTTCTCTTGTCCACTCGTGGGTTTCGTGACGAACTCTCAGGTCAAGTTCTTGCGAAGAGGATGGAGACGGCAGTCAAGTTAGCATGACAACTGATCGTCGTTGCGCTGCCTGACTTGTCAACAGCATTGAAAAAGATCAGAGGATGGGCTTCGACACTTGGCTGGCTCAGCTGAAGCTCGTGACCGTGGAGGAATTGGTAGGAGGAGGACGAGGAGGGAAGACGAGGACGATGAGGACAGGGGTGGGGGGAGGAAGAGGAGGAAGAAGATAAAGAAGAGGAGGAGGAGGAGGAAGATAAAGAAGAAGACGATGAGGAGATGGTGAATCTCACATCTCTCCTCCAGATCTTCAAGGAGGCGAGAGAAGCCATCATCAACCAGTCCTACGAGGTGTTGCAGCTGTAACGTTTACCGTTGACCTTACTGTGTCCTGGAAGCTCCTCCAACAACAGACTGACCATGTACTGCCGGACATCGAGACCAAGGTTCTTGATCCTCCTTCCTCCTCGACCTCAATCCTCCTCATCTTCCATTCTCCTCCTCCTCATTCCCTCCCTCCTCCCTCCTCCCTCCTCCTCCT